CGATGATGAAACTGAGGTACTGTCATTTAGGTCACATTATTTACAAGTGGCCTGGCAACATCATCTATGCTTTCTGTTGCTGTTGCATGTTTTTACTTTTTTTTTTTTTTTTTTTTTGAGATGGAGTCTCAGTCACCCAGGCTGGAGTGCAGTAGCTTGATCTCAGCTCACTGCAACCTCCACCTCCTGGGTTCAAGCAATTATCCTGTCTCAGCCTCCCAAGTAACTGGGATTACAGGCACGTGCCACCGTGCTTGGCTAATGTTTTTATTTTTAGTAGAAATGGGGTTTCACCATGATGGCCAGGCTGGTCTCAAACTCCTGACCTTGTGATCCGCCTGCCTCGGACTCCCAAAGTGCTGGGATTACAGGCGTGAGCCACAACACCCAACCTTCTTCCTTCTTCTTTCTTCTTCTTTTTTTTTTTTTTTTTTGAGACAGGGTCCCATTCTGTTGCCCAGGCTGGAGTGCAGTGGCACTATCATAGCTCATTGCAGCCTTGAACTCCTGGGCTCAATCCCTCCCTCCTCAGCCTTCTGAGTAGCTGAGACTATAAGCATGTACCACCATGCCTGGCTAATTAAAAAAATTTTTTTTTTGTAGAGTCAAGAGTCTAACTATGTTATCCAGGTTGGTCTCAAACTCCTAGGTTCAAATGATCCTCCCTCCTCTGCCTCCCAAACTGCAGGAATTACAGGCCTCAGCCACCACAACTGGCCAGGAATCACAGTTTTGAATTTTCAGGCTGACAGCCTCCAATATGGTGAACTAGGGGAACTACACAAAAAATATGAGTTCAGGTACAATGCAATTGGCAGTTGACCCCCTAGCCACAGAAGCCCTGGCTGGCTGTGGAGGCCTGCCCTCGACCCCTCAGGAATCTGCCCATCATGTGGCCTCCACATTTTACACAAGTCAGCTTTCAGCATCTCATGTATCACCAGACTCATCTCCCAGAGAGGCTCCAAATTCCTGTCTTCACCAGCAAGGCATCCTTTTCCCTGCACTCCTGCTATTAAATGATATCTTATTCTTCTCTGATGGTACCTTTCCCTGACTATTGAGGTGACATGTCTTGTCACACGCTTATTGGTGGATTTGCTGTGCTGCAGGGGATCTCACCTGGCAGCAATTTTGCTGTTCTCTTCCCCCTGGGGACATTTGGGCCATGTCTGGAGACATTTTTAGTTGTTGGAACTAGGCTGGCGTTGAGTGGATAGTGACCAGGGTATTCCTAAACATACTACAACACACAAGATAGGCCCTCACAGCAAAGAATTATCAGTCCCAAAGCATCAATAGTGCTGAGGCTGAGAAATCCTGCTTTGCTGGGATTGCTGGGAAGATTTTTTTTGTCTTTAAAAAAAATCAATTTACAGATGCTCTTGACAAGGCATTAACCTTTTATCTATCATCTGCATTGCAAATATTTCCCCGAAATCTATGTTCTTTTAGTTTTGTTTATGGTATCTTTTTGCAGCAAATACAGAAAATTAATGTAGTCAAATGTGTGTTTCGTTTTTATTATAGCCTCTGTGTTTCCTGTCATGGTTGAGGTCCCCTCCGCTCTTATTGAGTGCATATGGTTTTTGATTTCTACTATATTAAGATTTGTATTGTTCTATTCTTTAGGCCTTTAATCTACCTACAATTGATTTTTATGAATGTGAATGGTGGGAGGTTATTGGGAGAAACCCCACCCCCGATATTTATTGTGGATTATTTTCTATTTCCTAAGTGTCTCAGCTGGTTTGAGAAATAAAGGGAAAGAGTACAAGAGAGAGAAATTTTAAAGCTGGGTGTCCGGGGGAGACATCACACTTTGGCATGTTCTGTGATGCTCCCCAAGCCGTAAAACCAGCAAGTTATTATTAGTGATTTTCAAAAGGAGAGGGAGTGCACAAATAGGGTGTGGGTCACAGAGATCACATGCTTCACAAGGTAATAAAGCAAGTGGAGGCAGCGCAAGATCACAGGACCACCAGATGGGGTGAAATTAAAATTGCTAATGAAGTTTCGGGCATGCATTGTCATTGATAACATCTTATCAGCAGACAGGGTTTGAGAGCAAACAACCTGTCTGACCAAAATTTCTTAGGCAGGGGAATTTCCTTGTCCTAATAAGCCTGGGAGCACTACAGGAGACCGGGGCTTATTTCATCCCTTCGGCTTCGACCGTAAAAGGCAGCCACCTTAAGGGGGCTGTCTATAGACCTACCCTCAGGGATGTTCTTTGCTGAGAAAAAGAATTCAGCGATATTTCTCCTATTTGCTTTTGAAAGAAGAGAAATATGGCTCTGTTCCACCTGGCTCACCGGCAGTCAGGCTCCAAGTCTTTTCTCCCTTGCTCCCTGAAGATTGCTGTTATCCTGTTCTTTTTTCAAGGTGCCCAGATTTCATATGGTTCAAACACGCATGCTCTACAAACAATTTGGCAGTTAATGCAATCATCACAGGGTCCCGAGGCGACATTCATCCTCCTCAGCTTACGAAGATGATGGGATTAAGAGATTAAAGTAAAGACAGGCATAGGAAATCACAAGGGTATTGATTGGGGAAGTGATAAGTGTCCATGAAATCGTCACAATTTATGTTCAGAGATTGCAGTAAAGACAGGTGTAAGAAATTATGAAAGTATTAATTTGGGGAACTAATAAATGTCCAGAAAATCTTCACAATTTATATTTGTGTTCTTCTGCCGTGGCTTCAGTCGGTCCCTCCGTTTGGGGTCCCTGACTTCCTGCAACAGGAGGTGAGGACCCAAATATATTTTTTTCCAGGTGGAGAATCAGGTTTTTTTTTTTTTTCATATTAGATTAACTATCCTTTCCCTCTGAATTAAAATCCTACCTCTGTCATGTATCAACTTTACAAAATACACATACACACATTTGTATGCATGTGTGCGTGCATGAACACTTACTTACTCCTGGGATCCACCTTTTTTTCCCAGTGATACTTGCCAATCTTAGCATAAGACCTTTCAATCTTAGTTACATGGCTTTGTCATATGTAGTACCACAGAGGCTAGTTCTCACATGTATTCTTTCTTCCCGTCTTAAATCATTTTTTTGGCCATTTCAGACATTTACTTTTTTCTCTTATTTATTTTTAGGTCCCAAAATAGAAGTAAAGGAAACCCTCCTCACTTTTAACCTGGGCTCTAGTGCCTTGCTTTCTGTTTTCTCGGCACCGTGAGCACTCCTCGCATGCCGTCAGGAGGACTGTCGTTAGAGTTACCGGTTGTGGGACTCCTCCCGCCTGCCAGCCTGGTTCTGTGCCATGTCCCTGGCCCTGCATGGTGACTGACACAAGCTGGTGCTCATTAGATATTGGCTGAATGAATGAACAGTGAAGGATGCAGATCTCCTTTGTTTTAAATGTTAAAATTAAGTTCATTTCTTGTGTTGCTTTGAGTATAAGGGAGCAGAGGCTGGTCTGGTCTTTGTCATTGCCAAGGTGTGGCCTTGGACCGTTGCTTCTCTCTTCTGCCTCAACTTTCTTACCTGTAGAACTGAACCCAGTAAACTCTGAGTCTTTATACCAGTGCAGTCATAAAATAGGATGTAAATTTATGTATTTTTTTGAGACAGGATCTCACTCTGTCACCCAGGTTGGAGTGCAGTGGTGCAATGATGGTTCACTGTGACCTCCCAGGCTCAAGAGATCCTCCCACCTCAGCTTCCCAAGTAGCTGGGACCACAAGTGTGCATCACTATGCCCAGCTAAATTTTCTTTCTTGTATATTTGGAGAGACAAGGTTTTGCCAAGTTGCTCAGCCCGGTCTCGAACTCCTGGGATCAAGTGATCTGCCCACTTTGGCCTCCCAAAGTGCTGGGATTATGGGGGTGAGCCACTGCACTCAGTCTATTTTAAATATTTTTTGCCCACAAAGGCAAATGTGTCAAGGGCTCATAAAGTCATAACGTAGCCCTGCTAAACACCACCCAAAACTTGGCATTAGGAGCGTAGCAGTCCCAGGCAGAGTGGAAACGTGGGGAGAATCAGCAGCCATTTGTCTGGCTACTGCCAGAAATAAAAACACATGCACTGAAGGTGAGTGTAGGAGGCTCCCTTGTCCCCTGGGCTGTTCCCTGAGCAAACCTGATTCCAAGTTGGCACAATGGAGCAGAAAAATTCAATAACCAGACATCCCAGCTGTGCCTCATGCTTCCTGTGTGAGTGTGGACTAGTCACTTAACCTCCGGGAGCCTCATTGCCTCATTTGGGAAATCATAACACCCCTTCCTTTTTCTTTTTTTAGACAGAGTCTCTCTCTGTCACCCAGACTGGAGTGCAGTGGCGCGATCTCGGCTCACTGCAAGCTCTGCCTCCAGGGTTCATGCCATTCTCCTGCCTCAGCCTCCGGAGTAGCTGGGACTGCAGGTGCCCGCCACCATGCCCAGCTAATTTTTGTATTTTTAGTAGAGATGGGGTTTCACCATGTTGGCCAGGATTGTCTCAATCTCCTGACCTCATGATCCGCCTGCCTTGGCCTCCCAAAGTGCTGGGATTACAGGCATGAGCCACTGTGCCCGGCCAGTAACATCCCTTTCATTGGACTGTTCGGTCATTCAAGTAATCACTCAACATGTGTTTTTTGAGCACCTACTGTGTTCCAGGCACTGTTCTAGGTGCTGAATACACATAACAGTGTGCCCCAGCACACCTAGTCCAGTGCTGGCACAAAGTAGGTTCTCGTTAAACACTTGTTGAATGAATGATTGGAAAACAGGTGGGGAGGAGGTACCAACAATAAATAAGTGAATACATGCATGATACATATATAATGATAAACACCAACATATGGTTCTATCCAGTGTAAAATGTCATTACAAAGAAGGTAAGGTGCTAGGAAGGAAAGGAACAGGTGCCAGGGACAGAAGATGATGGGGGTTGGGAGCCAGGACAGGGGAGCATCTGCTCAGATGGAGTGCTCAGGGTAGGCTTCTTTGAGGAGGCCTACGGGGAGTGATGGGACTGGTTCTTGCTGGTTGCAGGCATCCAGCCCGCACTGTGGAGCAGGGAGGACGTGCTGCACTGGCTGCGCTGGGCAGAGCAGGAGTACTCTCTGCCATGCACCGCGGAGCACGGGTTCGAGATGAATGGACGCGCCCTCTGTATCCTCACCAAGGACGACTTCCGGCACCGCGCACCCAACTCAGGTCAGAGAGACTCACAGGTTTTCCTCTAAGTAGGAACACTGGTAGGCCAGGACGGCCCAGGTACCCCAGGGGGGTCCAGGGAGGGAGATGGAGGAGGTCTTCCTTGGGGAACCATGCTCATTTCCAGCACTGCAGATGCCCCTCTGCACATGCGTGTGTCTGGTGGGTCCTAGCTAGAGCAGGCCTTCGAGGCGAGGGAGTCCATTTGACCACGTGTTTTCAGAGCTGTAGAGGCCTGTTCTGCTGTCTCACTTTCTCTTCCCCTTATCTGTGGCCCTTGTCTCCTTTACCCACTTCCATCCTATTGCCTCCCACCCCCTACCCCTACTGAACAAAAAACCAACTAGAGAAAGATCAGATATTCATTCACACCGAGGTATAAATGGCTGGTAACAGCAAAAGCCTTGACTCTCAATATGACTTTTGATTTTAACCAGAAACTAGGTCTGAGGGCAAAGGAATGAACGTCAGATTATGGTGTTCCAGCAGCACGAAGTTTGTGGGGAGGGACTGGTGGTGGGAGGGAGGGTGGCCAGTGGTAGTGGGCAGCAGGGCCTTCCAGGAATCTCTAGAATTGCATTTGAGTCTTATTTGGCTTGTTTTCAGGTGGCTCTTATGTTTGTGCTGATTTGGTGTCTTTTTTTAAGAATTCGCTGATGTTTTCTGTGTACGCTGTCTTTTGGTCAAGCAGGCCCACAGTGTATGTGGCAAAGAGACGTTCTAAAATCTGCTGATTTGCTCCTTTTCTTCTTAACACGCACAGCCAGTCTCATGTCACATCCTAAGTTCTTTCTTTCTTTCTTTTTTTTTTTTTTTTTTGAGACAGAGTCTCACTCTGTCGCCCAGGCTGGAGTGCAGTGGCGCGATCCTGGCTCACTGCAACCTCTGCCTCCCAGGTTCAAGCAATTCTCCTGCCTCAGCTGAGTAGCTGGGATTACAGGCGCACACCACCATGCCTGGCTAATTTTGTATTTTTGGTAGAGATGGAGTTTCACCATGTTGGCCAGGCTGGTCTCCAACTCCCAACCTCAGGTGATTTGCCCACCTCGGCCTCCCAAAATGCTGGGATTACAGGCATGAGCCACCACTCCTGGCTGACATCCCAAGTTCTATCACCCACTTCCCTCCACAAGCCTCCCACCCACTTCCCTCCTTGAGCCTCTTGTAGCAGCTGCTGGAACTTTCGTCCTTCTAAGAGTTTGGATTCAAGAGCTCAGTGGGAGGTGAGGGGAAGGCAGGGACAGAGAGACAAGGCTTCCAGCTTCCCCACAGCACTAATGGTCCTGTGCCAAGGCAAAGCAGGGAAGCAGGTGAGCTTGGGGCTGGTCCCCTTCATGCCCTTGTTCATCTCTCCATCTTCCTACAAGCACTCCTGGTGCTCGAGTAACCACTCTCTACATTGTATCCCGGTGGGTGCCTGGGATCCCCAGGTTGGCTCTCTACCCATGGATCCCCTCTTTCCTGTCCTACTATCAGCACCTTAGCCCAAGGTATGAGTCAAGGAAAATTTCTGGGACCCTGGACACAGCCCAATTCTGTTTTTTTTTTTCTTTTTGTAATAGGGTCTCACTCTATTGCCCAGACTAGAGTTTGGTGGTGTGAACACAGCTCACTGCAGCCTCAACCTCCTGGGTTCCAGTGATCCGCCTGCCTCAGCTTCCCAAGTAGCTGGGACCACAGACATGTGCCACCATACCCAGCTGATTTTTAAACTTTTTGTAGAGACAGGGTCTGTCCATGTTGCCCAGGCTGGTCTCAAACTCCTGGGCTCAAGCAATCCTCCTGCCTTAGCCTCCTAAAGTGTTAGGATTACAGGTGTGATCCATCGCACCTGGCCTTTCTTTTTTTCAACCATTTATTGAAGCGGCTACTAATTCTGCCTTTTAGGAAGAGGCTAAGACAGCTTTGCTCCTTAGAAGGCAGGGGCAGACTTTTTAAAAAGCTTGGAATCCCATGAGCCTTAGAACTGTCTCTGCCCCCAGAAACGTGAGGTACAGTGGTACAGTTTATGCACTGTGCACAAGCCCTCAGCCAAGGGTGTGTGCAGGGATTGAGAAGCAGCCTGACCTTGCAAGCTGCATGCCCTGGAGGCGGCCGCGTCTACTGGCAGGATAGATTGTCTTTCTAAAATTCATCCACCACGGGAGCAGCAGCGTCCCTGCCCATCGCCAGCCCAGCCTCCTGTTAGCTGCAGCAGGAACCCCTTCGCCAGCAGCACGAAGCTGTGACAGGACATGCCAGCCCTCACCCTGAGGCAGGTGGCTGCAGGGGGCCAAGGCTGACCCTCCCCACGTGGCCTGTTCAGCAGCCTGCCCTCCCTCCCACCCATGTCCAGGTGACGTCCTGTATGAGCTGCTCCAGTACATCAAGACTCAGCGGCGAGCCCTTGTGTGTGGGCCTTTTTTTGGAGGGGCCTTCAGGCTGAAGATGCCCACCCAGCACTCTCCAGTCTCCCTGGAAGGTGAGGAAGCTGTTTGTGGTGCTGAGTACCTCCCTCAAATCAGCCTCACTGGGAGGGCAGGACGTCCTCAAGGCAAAGCAATGAAGGAGGTGGCCAGTGTGGGCAAGCTCCCCTCCCTCCCCGCCGCCACCTCCTGTCTGGGGTGCTCCTGGCAGCCCTCCCTCTGTGCTGCACCCTCTGTGCTGCACCCTCCCTGCGTCCCACCTCCCCGTTTCTCTGCTCTCTCCAGCAAAGAGCTGTTTGTATCGTGTCTCAATTTCCTCTCTGGAGCCCTCCGTGGAAACCACTCTTGTCAGGGTCTCCAGAAACCTGAAAATAAGGATGTCCATGCCATGGCCATTCTCAGTCCTGATTTACTGTGGCCTCTCACAGCCTTCGACCCTGGGGGTCACCTCTTCTTCCCCCAAAACTCTTTCTTCCCTTGGCTTCCAGGACACCCCACTCACCTGGTCTCCTCTACCCCACTGGTGTCTCCTTGACCTCCTGGTTTCTACTCTTCTCGCCTGCTTCTAGAAGTTGGGGTACCCCAGGGTCAGAGGACCTCTCTGCTTCTCTATCTGCACTCAGATGCTGGGAAATCTCATCTGATCCTGGATCTTAAACACCATGTGGTGCCAATGATTCCAATATATGCCTCAGCCTCTCCAAATTCCCGATATGTGCACCCACGCTGCCTGCCCCACCCCTCTACTGGGGCATCTAGTAGGCATCTCACCCCCCACAGCCCCTAAACCAAATGCCTGATATCCTGCCCTTTTCAGTCTTCCCCAGCCCCACAAACCCCGCCTCCACACTTCCAATTGCTCAGATGTCATTTCTACCCCCACCCCCACTCATCCCAACTGTCCACAAATCCTGTCAGCCCTACCCTCAAATCTATCCAGAATCCAGCCTTTTCTCATTCCTCCCCTGCTGCCCCGTTCCAGTCCCCACTGCCTCTGGAGAACGTCCTCACTGGTCTCCTTGCTTCTGCTCTTGACCTCCTGTGATCTGTTCTCCACAGAGCAGGGAGATTCAGAAGTAGGTCACATCACTTTTCTGCTCGGCATCTTCCAGCGGCTCCCTTCTCACTCGGAGTCCAAGTGCAGTTCTTCCGCTGACTCCTGCCCCTGCCTTCCCCTTCCAGCCTTCTCTCTCTTGCTCCTGCTGTTCCAGTCATATGGGCTTTCTTGTTCATTGGACAAGCCTGAGATGCTCCTGCCCCAGGGCGTTTGCAATTACTGTTCCCTCTGCCTGGCATCCCCTCCCTGCTCTAGAAACCCACAGATCTCACTCCTCTACCTCCTTCGGGTCTGTTCAAATGCTACTGTCAGGGAGGCCTGAGCAGCCTCTCAAAAGTGGCAACTCCTGCTCCTTTCCCAGATCTCCCTCTCTGCCTTAGGGTGATTTATTTTGTTCTTCCCACATTGTGTACTGTTTCTGTTTCCTTTTTATTTTAACCGTCCATCTCCCCTGCTCTCAACTAGCATAGAAGCTCCCTGAGGGCAGGGGCTTTTGGGGGCTCAGCGATATATCCTCAAGATTCTTAGAACAATGCCTGGTTCATAGAAGGCTCTCAATAAATACTTGGGCAAATGGAGAGGTGGGATACAGCGCCCCTGGGTTCTAGACCTGGCTCTGTCACTGCTTGGCTTTGCAGCCAGTTTCACAGATGAGGGAACAGGCTTGACAGATTTTTACTTGTGTGGGAGCTGGGGTTAGCACCTAGGCTGTCTGGCTCTCACCCACTGCCCCCCACTGCCTCCCTGACCTTCTAACCAGGGGCTGGACAGAGGAAGAGCATCAGGAGTGCTGCCCCACAGGGCTCCCAGGCTCACCATTGAGGGATTGAGTTGGGGAGGCTTGGGGCCCACTGCCTGCTACCACTGGTGCTCATCTGCTTGCAGAGGTGACTGGCCCTTCTCAGATGGACACCCGAAGTGGTCACCTGCTGCAGCCACCAGACCCAGGGCTTACCAGCTCCTTTGGCCATCTGGATGACCCTGGCCTGGCCAGGTGGACCCCTGGCAAGGAGGAGTCCCTCAACTTATGTCACTGTGCAGAGCTCACCTGCAGGACCCAGGAGGTCTGTGCCTTCCCTGCGATGCCACAGGCCCCCATTGACGGCAGGATTGCTGGTGAGTGGGAGGCTGCTCCTCTGGCCATGGGAAGGTGCCCTGAGTCTGAGTCCCAGCGTCACGAGTGATAAGGACAGGGCTATTTTGACCTGGTGATGGGAGGTCTGTGGCTGGGGGATTTTGGAGTAGCATGACTGTCCTGTGTGCTGGCCACAATCTGGTTACAGCGGGCAGTGATACCTGGGATCACCAAGCCTCACCCTGTCTCCCACAGAGGGACAATTTACCAGTCATATTCTGACACTCACATTAGCATGGAGTGCCACACCTGCCTTTTAAAACTTTATCTATTTTAAAATAATTGAGCATTCATTATGTGCCAGGCATGGTTCCCAGGCCCTTATTTAATTCTACAATGGCCTTTTGCGTTTGGTACTATTATTAGCCCCATTTCACAGATATGGAAATTGAGACACAGAAAGGTTAAGTAACTTCTCCAAGATCACACAGCACTGGTAGAGTTGGGATGTGAACCCAGGCAGTCTGGCTCCAGAGCCTGAGTGCTAACCAAATGATACACTTCCTCTCTGCATTCATTGTTAAAGGATTAGCAGGCAGACAACCTGACAGACTGACAGGTAAGCTGAAGGGTGTTTTTCTAGTCATAATATTTACACTGCATTTCTTCTTCTTCTTCTTTTTTTTTCCAACTTTTAGGTTCAGGGGGTACATGTGCAGGTTTGTTACATGGGTAAATTGCGTGCCACTGAGCTTTGGTGTATGAATAATCCTGTCACCAAGATACTGAGCATAGTACCTGATACGTAGTTTTTCTTTTCTTTTCTTTTCTTTTTTTTTTTTAGATGGGAGTCTGGTTCTTTTGCCCAGGCTGGAGTGCAGTGGCAAAATCTCAACTCACTGCATCCTCTGCCTCCCGGGTTCAAGCAATTCTGCTGCCTCAGCTTCCCAGGTAGCTGGGATTATAGGCGCCCGCCACCACACCCGGCTAATTTTTGTTTTATTAGTAGAGACAGGGTTTCACCATGTTGGCCACAGGCTGGTGTCAAACTCCTGACCTCAGGTGATCCACCCACCTCAGCCTCCTTTGGCGCTGGGATTACAGGCGTGAGCCACCGCGCCCAGCCTGTGATAGGTAGTTTTTCTGCCCTGGCTCTTCCTCTGTAGTGGTCTCCAGTGCCCAGAGTCTATCGTTCCCATCGTTATGTCCACACATTTATTCTATGAAGCCACAGAGTGGGCAGAAGCCTGGCTTTTGGGTTGGAAATGACTAGAAGTCACTAAAAAACAATGATTGGCCCAAAACATAGAAATGATGAATACTTGAGGTGATGGTGTCCTGAGTACCCTGACTTGATCATTACACATTCTATGCATGCAACAAGATCTCACATGTACACCAGAAATACGTACAAATATTATGTATCAATAAAACACACAATGATCCACAATAATTGGAATTTTTTTTTTTTTTTTTAAGAGACTGAGTCTCACTCTGTCGCCCAGGCTGGAGTGCGGTGATGCAACCATAGCTCACTGCTGCCTCAAATTCCTGGGCTCAAGGAATCCTCCCACTTCAGCCTCTTGCAATTACTGTATTCTTCAATTATAATGCTTAACATTCTTCGTGCACTTACACTATCCCAGGCACTGTGCTGAAGGTTTTGTGGTCTATTATGTTACCTAATTCCCTCACCACCCCATACCAGGAAACTGGCTCAGAGGTGGTTGTGTAACTTGCCTGCAATGACCCAGCCGACAGGCCCAGGTCCTGGGATTCAAGATCACACAGTTGCTCCCAGATGCCCACTTACCTTCCCAATGGCATGCTTGGTTTTCCTGAACTTCACCATTAGGGAACTTGAAGGGGTGGATGTTATAATTAATAGAAGTCCAGGGGGCTGAGTAAGTGGGCCAGGGGCAGAGAGGGACCTGCGGTCAGGGGCCTGGCCACTCGGCCTGTGGGCCCAGCACCTACCCTCACGTGGCTCTGATGTCGGGTGGAGCCGGTCAGACTCCCCGCTTTGCCTGCCACTTAGGAGCTGGGCAACGTTAGACACCTCTGCACCTCTGAGCCCATTTCCTCACCTCTTCCTGGGGATAAAGGTAGCCACTTCCCAGACTCATGAGACAATGCATGAGGAGCCCCGTTAGTGGCCGTTTCTGTGGATACCATCATTTTCACCATTCTGCTGGTGCTCCCAGGGCCCTGGCCAGGAGGCCTCCAAGAGCGCCTTTCTAACACCTGTCCTCACAGCTCCAGTAAAGCTGCCTGCACTCCCTGTGCTAAATTGCAGACTGCCGGCTGCTGTGGGAATACGTGTATCAGCTGCTCCTTGACCCCCGGTATGAGCCCTACATCAGGTGGGAAGACAAGGACGCCAAGATCTTCCGGGTTGTGGATCCAAATGGGCTCGCCAGACTCTGGGGAAATCACAAGGTGAGCCTTGGCCAGCAGGATGGTCTCGACGTAACCAGGAGGCGACAGAGTTGGGAGTCAGAGTGGACCACTAGCACTATGGGACAATCCTCAGCTGATGGCGCCTTCACCAGCAGCCCCAGAAGCGTCAGGATAACTTTATTTGGGGAGCTATTGAGGGACAGGCAGTTACCTCTTATGGACAGGGAATGTCTCTGAAACTGAACAATTGTGTCTTCTCATTGCTTAATCTTACCTTTGCTTAGCATTTTAGCCTTTAGAAGCATGTTTACATGAACTGCACAGTTAGGCCAGATGAGGAAGCTGCTTTCCTGCGCGGAGCTGGACAGAAACCCAGGTCTCAGGCCCAACAGGAGCATCCGATGTCAGGGCTGGAAAGGCCTGGGGATGACTGAGGCCAGCATTCCCATGAGGAGGAATGCCTGTACCTAAATGGGCGTCTGCAAGATGATCTTAGGTGGTTTAATATCCTTATAATTATTTATTTTTGAATTAGGATTACAAAATGTATCTACCGTGACTATCTCATGATTTATAGCAGTGATATAAGGAATGTAGCCTTTTAAAATAAATAGATTTCTTTAAGTAAAAAAATCTTTTAAAGAAAACTATTAATGATAATGATAATCATCAATTTATAGCCTTTCCTAAGATGTAATAGTGCCTGATTGCCAGGCATTGCCCTGAGAGCTCTACTTGTATTAATTCATTTAATTATCATACCAACCTCATAAGAGGTTTTATCAAATGTGGAGACTGGGGCTCAGTGAGGGCTAACAACTTGCCCCAAATTTACCCATCCCCTGCTATGTAAGAGGCAGAGCAGGGACTTGAACCCAGGCTGTGGGTTCAAGAGCTAAGAGCAATATTCTATTGCCATACACTGTGCTATACACTGTATGTGCTATACATGCCATACACTGTGCTAATTGCCTTCATGGATTAGCTATTAATAATTTAATCCTCGACCTGTGCGATGGGTGTTCTTCTCATTATGTAGCTGGGGAAGCAGACTCAGAGAGGTCCAGAAACTTGTCCAAGGTGACACAGCTGCCAAGCGCTGGAGCTGGGGCTGAAATCGATGCCAAACCCCAGGCTCTTTGGCCCTACCTCATGCTGCCTATCCCCGAGAGAGAAAGAAATGACTTGGCCAAAGTCATCCAGGGTGTGGCCTGGCAAGGCCATCCATGCCACCCCACCATGCTGTCTCTCTGATTGCATTTCCTGCAAATATATCTATATCTATAGAACAAATATATATATTTGTTACTGTTGTGACATTTGCTATTTAAAAGTAACATGCAGTTCACTCCCACACTATGTTCTCAGCCAAGTAGGCAAGAGAACACTTCTTTCCTTCCTTCCTTCCTTCCTTCCTTTCTTTCTTTCTCTTTCTTTCTTTCTTTCTTTCTTTCTTTCTTTCTTTCTTTCTTTCTTTCTTTCTTTCTTTCTTTCTTTCTTTCTCTTTCTTTCTCTCCTCTTAAAGTCTTTCTTTCTTTCTTCTTTCTTTTTGTGATGGAGTCTCACTTTATTGCCCAGACTGTAGTGCAGTGACACGACCTCAGCTCACTGCAACTTCTGCCTCCCAGGTTCAAGGGATTCTCCTGCCTCAGCCTCCCAAGTAGCTGGGACTACAGGCATGCACCACCACACCTGGCTAATTTTTGTATTTTTAGTGGAGACAGGGTTTCACTATGTTGGCCAGGCTGGTCTCAAACTCCTGACCTCAAGTGACCTGCCCACCTAGGCCTCCCAAACTGTTGGAATTACAAGAGTGCCACCCTGCCCAGCCCCATCATTTCTTTTCCAACCTTCCCCCTCCTTCCAAACTCAAGTGAGCACTCATAAATCCTCACAGATCCCTGGAATGAGAGGCTTAAGAAGCTGTCCAGTCCACCCCGCTCCCTTACAGGGTGGAAAGTGAGGCCTGGAAGGAGTGGGACATGGAGAGCAGGGCTGATGTGGGGGCTGCTTTGCTTTCCAGAACCGGGTGAACATGACCTATGAGAAAATGTCTCGTGCCCTGCGCCACTATTATAAGCTTAATATCATTAAGAAGGAACCGGGGCAGAAGCTCCTGTTCAGGTGAGTAGCCTAGGGGATGTGGTGAAAGGGGGACGCAGAACTGGGGTTGGGTGGGCTGAAATCCCCCTGCAACTGGGGCAGGAGATGATTTGCAGTTGGGGCCTGAATTCTAGATTTCTAAAGACTCCGGGAAAGATAAGCCAGGACAAGGACAGCCACCTGGAGCCGCTGGAGAGCCACGAGCAGGACAGAATGGAGTTCAAGGACGAGAGGCCAGAAATCTCTCCGTGAGGGGCAGGTGGACTCCAGGCACCCGGTACCGATGGGGCAGGGACCGAGTCTCCTATGAAGGCAGCCTCCTCCTCCCAGCAGAGCAGCAGGATCCCCAGCTAGACTCTATACCCACAGAGTTACAGCCATTGCTTGGGAGGGCTGGGAGGCCTCCCATCCAGGACACTGGGGGCAGGAGGGTCATCTTTTGGGCAGGGCGATCCTGGGGCTAAACGGGGTACAGGGGAGTGTTCTCTCTCCTGCTGCAGCCCCGGGAGAGGAAGCCAGGCACCGATAGAGCATCCAGCCCCACCCCTGTAAATGGAATTTCCAGGATGAAGGGAACGAGGTCCCTCAGTGAGCCTCAGATTTCCTCACCTGCTCCTGAAAACCCCGCCCTCAGGGGCTGATGCAGGAAATGGGAAAAGTGTCAGTGCTTTGAGGCAGCACGGACAGCCTCAGTAATAATAAAAACAATGCTAGCTGACGTTTCTTTCTTTTTTCTTTTTTTTTGAGACAGTCTTGCGCTGTCACCCAGGCTGGAGTGCAGTGGCACGATCTCGGCTCACTGCAACTTCTGCCTCCCGAGTTCAAGAGATTCTCGTGCCTCAGCCTCCCGAGTAGCTGGGATTACAGCTGCCCACCACCACCCCCAGCTAACTTTTGTATTTTTAGTAGAGACACAGGGTTTCACCATGTTGGCCAGGCTTGTCTCGAACTTGCGACCTCAGGTGATCCTCTTGCCTCAGCCTCCCAAAGTGCTGGGATTACAGGCGTAAGCCACTGTGTCCAGTCGATGTTTCTTAAGTGTTTGCTATGTGCCAGGCCTTGTGCTAAGGGCCTCTCGGATATCTTATCTCATTTAATTCACTCGGCACCTCCCTCGGGCATGAAGGTGAGGACACTGAGGGAGAGGCCTGCGGAGCTGGCCTGCCTCTCCAGAACCCAGGGCTTCGACCTGTTTTCTTTCAGCACCTCTGACTGTATGTGGGCGCTTCTTAACCAGGCCCCGGCCCCACCTGTCTGCTCGTGGCATCTTCGCTGAATAGTCCATTTCACTTGGCCCAGCCCCCTCATCCTCAGTTTTCAGTGACTATGACCCAGTGATGACTGCCCCCCGTACCCCCGTACCTGTGGCTTCCTATGCTCCTGTCCCTGTATCTGCTGTGGGACTTTGGGCAAGGTGTTCCGCCTCTCTGGGGCCTCAGGTTTCTCATCTGTAAAATGGGGCTCCTTCTCCTCACCTGACCTCCGCGTTGTCAGAAAGCTTCCATAAGTCCATACTTGTGAAATGCTTAATGTTTGCCTGCTCTGGGGGGAGGGCTTAACCTGTGTTAGCTGAGACATCTCTGCAGACCAAAAGCTGCTCTGAAGCATGAAAACACCTCGGTCCAGTGGGTCAGCTTCTCCCTCTGTGCCCCAGCCCCAAGTACTGACTGGGGCCTCCTGAGCGCCAGAGCCTCTGTCCTTGCAAGCCCTCAGGTAAAGCTCGGGGTGGAGAAGGGAGTATTTTCATTTAACCAAGAATAGAACTCCCTGGATTCACATCTTCTTTCTCAGAAAGAGGAAACTACCTCAGCCTCTTGCCCCCAGCCAGTCAGGAAATCCCCCTGTCTCTGCTGGAGCCTGCACTGGCCTTGAGTCACTGCAGAGAAGTTCTTGAGAAGGACTCTTGGATTTTGGGGCTCAAAGCTGTGATAGCCCACAAGCAGGGAAACTCCAGGCTTAGTCTCATCTGGAACCCTCGATGGTCCTCACCAGCAGGGGGCAGGCAGGTGGCTTTGGAAAAAGGATCCATGGGAAAATGCTTTGCCCCTTTCACTTTCCCTCTGAGACTGTTCCGGCTCCTTGACTTTGCTCTGGGATGAGCCCATGGACCATGGCCTCTCTTATCACCTCCTCAACCCAGAGCTGCATACCTGGCCCGGGAGGGACTATCGAAATCAATTTATTCAGGCCCTCATTTTACAGAAAAGGGAACTGAGGCCAGAGAGAAGTGACTTGCCCAAGATCACATGGCCCAGCCCAGCTTCCTGGCTCCTGAAGCTACCTCATTTCCTCACCTCGGCATTGTGGTTGGGTCCAGGATGAAGCGGGAGGATGGATTCCTAGATCACTTCTTTCAGTTGTAAGTGGTGTTTTGCCTGCTGGTGGGTTGACGGATGTCAACAGCTACATTTCTCAGGGACGAGGCCTTAACTCAGGTGATGAGTCTCACCCAGCACGGAGACCATCAGGGCCAGGGATGGGCTACTAGGAGAGCAAGCGTGAACCACTGCCGGAGATCCCGACTCCGGAACTCTGCACTCAGCCCTGGGGCCATGCCACCTTTTCTCCATCTCCCCAGGGAGATCAGGCCCTGGGCTGGGGATGGGCCCCTGGGTGCCAGGAATAAAGGGGTTCATTCAGGCCTTCCTTCTACAAACATTAATTGAATACCTGCTATGTACCGGGTAACAGGTGAGGCATTGCGTTTATATCCATTTTTCATACAATTAAAGTCCTGAAAAGTGGCAGGTCATTGAAAATGACATATGTCAAAGTGGACTTCTCACAAATAATTTTTTTTTTTTTTTTTTTTGAGGTGGAGTTTTGCTCTGTCACCCAGACTGGAGTATAGTAATGCAATCTCAGCTCACCACAACCTCCGACTCCTGGGTTCAAGCGATTCTTCTGCCTCAGCCTCCTGAGTAGCTGGGATTACA